TCTGTGTCAAAATATAGAGCAACGACTGTCGTAAGTCTGTGTCAAAGTATACAACTACGACTGTCGTAAGTCTATGTCAAAGTATAGAACTACGACTGTCGTAAGTCTGTGTCAAACTATAGAACTACGACTGTGGTACGTCTGTGTCAAAGTATAGAACTACGACTGTCGTAAGTCTATGTCAAAGTATAGAACTACGACTGTCGTAAGTCTGTGTCAAAGTATAGAGCAACGACTGTCGTAAGTCTATGTCAAACTATAGAACTACGACTGTCGTAAGTCTGTGTCAAAGTATAGAGCAGCGACTGTCGTAAGTCTGTGTCAAAATATAGAGCAACGACTGTCGTAAGTCTGTGTCAAAGTATAGAACTACGACTGCCGTAAGTCTATGTCAAAGTATAGAACTACGACTGTCGTAAGTCTGTGTCAAACTATAGAACTACGACTGTGGTACGTCTGTGTCAAAGTATAGAACTACGACTGTCGTAAGTCTATGTCAAAGTATAGAACTACGACTGTCGTAAGTCTGTGTCAAAGTATAGAACTACGACTGTCGTAAGTCTATGTCAAAGTATAGGATCTACGCCTGTTGTAAGTCTGTGTCAAAGTATAGGAGCTACGCCTGTCGTAAGTGTACGTCAAAGTATAGGAGCTACGCCTGTCGTAAGTGTATATCAAAGTATAGGAGCTACGCCTGTCGTAAGTCTGTGTCAAAGTATAGCAGCTACGCCTGTCGTAAGTCTGTGTCAAAGTATGGAGCAACGACTGTCGTAAGTCTTTGTTAAAGTATGGAGCAACGACTGTCGTAAGTCTATGTCAAAGTATAGAACTACGACTGTCGTAAGTTTATGTCAAAGTATAGAACTACGACTGTCGTAAGTTTATGTCAAAGTATAGAACTACGACTGTCGTAAGTCTGTGTCAAAGTATGGAGCAGCGACTGTCGTAAGTCTATGTCAAAGTATGGAACTACGACTGCCGTAAGTCTATGTCAAACTATAGAACTACGACTGTCGTAAGTCTGTGTCAAAGTATAGAGCAACGACTGTCGTAAGTCTGTGTCAAAATATAGAGCAACGACTGTCGTAAGTCTGTGTCAAAGTATACAACTACGACTGCCGTAAGTCTATGTCAAAGTATAGAACTACGACTGTCGTAAGTCTGTGTCAAACTATAGAACTACGACTGTGGTACGTCTGTGTCAAAGTATAGAACTACGACTGTCGTAAGTCTATGTCAAAGTATAGAACTACGACTGTCGTAAGTCTGTGTCAAAGTATAGAGCAACGACTGTCGTAAGTCTATGTCAAACTATAGAACTACGACTGTCGTAAGTCTGTGTCAAAGTATAGAGCAGCGACTGTCGTAAGTCTGTGTCAAAATATAGAGCAACGACTGTCGTAAGTCTGTGTCAAAGTATAGAACTACGACTGCCGTAAGTCTATGTCAAAGTATAGAACTACGACTGTCGTAAGTCTGTGTCAAACTATAGAACTACGACTGTGGTACGTCTGTGTCAAAGTATAGAACTACGACTGTCGTAAGTCTATGTCAAAGTATAGAACTACGACTGTCGTAAGTCTGTGTCAAAGTATAGAACTACGACTGTCGTAAGTCTATGTCAAAGTATAGGATCTACGCCTGTTGTAAGTCTGTGTCAAAGTATAGGAGCTACGCCTGTCGTAAGTGTACGTCAAAGTATAGGAGCTACGCCTGTCGTAAGTGTATATCAAAGTATAGGAGCTACGCCTGTCGTAAGTCTGTGTCAAAGTATAGCAGCTACGCCTGTCGTAAGTGTACGTCAAGTATAGGAGGTACGGCAGTCGCACCGCGATGACAGCTTTGTGAAATGGGACCGGGGGCTATTGTTTTTAATCTTAATGCACCTGAGTCTGTCCTTCTCTTCTTTGGATTTGCACACTAGAAGAGTGTCACCAAGTCGGTTCAGTCTCCGGGCCACTGCAAGCATCATAGTGCTGGCTTCTTCATCACACTCGCATGTCACCTCGACCTTTTTACTGTTCATATTCTCCAAGAGAAAAATGCACTGTTCTTTTTTCAGAAATGTCGGATAATTTGCATCACCGTCATCACATCCACTCTCTGTCTCAGCAACAGCGGCCCAAAACGCCATCATAATGTGTTCGTATTTGGAAGAAGAGTTGGGTACAAAGGATGAACATCTGCTAGTCATTGTCTGTAACTTTGCAAAAAACACATCCTGGTCTTTCAGGTCACGGGTACAGATAACTCCATGCACTAAGTTAATAGATTCTTTGGTAAACCGACGTAAGTCTGCAGTTACCTCCCTTGCAACGGAAGTGTTATAGTTTCGTATGTTCTCCTTTGTTCTATTGCCCTGTGGTACCACTGTTAACACAACGAGTGGCTGTTGGGGCATTGCTAGAAATATGTCACATGTCATTTGGCCTTGTCTCTGTAACACAGGAAAGTCTAATGACACTGCCAGAGATTCTGACAAATGCACAAAACAGGTAGTGTCACAGCATGCACCCACACTCACTCCATCCACAAGACACTGATTATACAGCGGTCCGTTTGTCTCCAACAGCGAAAACAGCTTTTGTTTGATGTCCATAAGATTGGGAGGAAGTTTTGTTGGGACAATGTTGACATCTCCTATAAATGTAAAATGTAGGTATGATAACTGATCATAAAGACTGACTGACTGACTGAGTTTGGTTTTACGCCGCTTTTAGCAATATTCCAGCAACATCACGGCGGGGGACACCAGAAATGGGCTTCACACATTGTGCCCATGATCATAAAGAAGCAAATGGTGCAACCAGTATCATTTTCGGACAGTAAAATACACAATCATTAACCATTAAGCACTCATAACCAAAGACATTTGTCTCTGGTGCCAGAAACACGGAGTTGTATCTTGAAACACAAACTAACCTCCGGTAATGAGTGAGTGAGTTTGGTTTTACGCCGCTTTTAGCAATATTCCAGCAATATCACGTCGGGGGACACCAGAAATGGGCTTCACACATTGTACCCATGTGGGTAATCGAACTCGAGTGGGAGCGAACGCTTTAAGCACTAGGCTACCCCCATCGCGCCCCCACCCGCCACCCCAACCTCCGGTAATTATTACTTTCGGTCAAGAACAAAACCGATGAGAGTGAGTTTAGTTCTACGCCACACTCAGCAATATTCGAGATATATGGCGGTGGTCTGTAATTAATCGTGTTTGGACCAGACAACCCAGTGATCAACATCATGAGCATCGATCTACGCAATTGGGATACGGTGACATGTGACTGCCCGATCCCATAAGTCGCTTCTTACAACAAGCATGGGTTAGCGATGAGAGAATGCACGTCAATTTATCATAAAAATGCATTAGTTAAAACAAATATCAAATTCATTTCACACAGTTGGTAACGCGTGTATTATCATATTATTCAGGAGAAATGTCAAAATTTAATTTTTAAGATGTGAGTTTATATTTCCTTCAGAAATGTGTCGAAGTAATTACCTTTCCCCACGAATCTCCATTCCATGTACCATAAGTAACATACCTTTGAACATGTAATAGCGGTGAATGTCAGCAAGCACGGTTTCTGTCTGTTTGAAACGTGGACGGAGAATGGCTTTCTCAATCTCTGTTGGTGCCAGTGCCTAAAACAGTAACAACAGTGAAAAAACGGTATATATCTGGAGAACACAACGTGCACATGGGGTCTCATCTTAGGCAGCAGAAAATAGATACCCGGTGGGATAAGTCATGTGACTATTAACCTTCTAACGCCTCATGGGCAGCTTGGGCTATCCGGGGTAATGATAATCAGATCGTGTGTTGTACATGCAAAAGGCGCATTATATATTCACATTAATATATTACTATTAGATAATCTGCACTTTCGTTCTAGAAATTAAGTGTTTGTAATATGAAATAATATCATATCTTCCTAGCCTGGTATAAGCCAAAGATTTGGCACGGCCCTCTTTTACCATATTTGAAAGAACAAAAATACACTGACGTACAAAAGAAACTATACATATGGTGCCAGGGGATTATATTCCTAAAAAAACAAAACAAAAAAAACACCGCCGTAAAACCAACGTCGTAACTTGGTACGATATATGTGGTGTTTTGGCAATGTTTATGACTTTTCAAAATATTTCCCAAAGCATCAGGTGTGTACTTTCTTTGATACGTCAGTATAAGTCAATTACGTATGACGTACATTCGTGGTTGCTGAATCTTCAGACATCTGCCGTGTATCTGGAAAAAAACCGTCTCTTGATGAGCTACCATGGCGTTATACATTGTACAGAATATCAAAATGCATGAGAGGATATATTACTGTAACCCTTTTTTCGAATGGAGTTTATCAAACGGATTTAACCGGACTTTTTGATTGGTTGCACTAATGCTAAAGAGGGGAATAATATCTTAACTATAAGAAAGAGTGGATGAGGTTGAGATTTAGCTGTGAACAGATTTAACCTTGAACGTTATTTCAGTTATATCATGCAAACTTCTTGTGGGAGGGAAGCCCACGGCGATGTACTCAGACCCTTACTAATTTGACGAAACCCATGAACACTGAGACTATACTGACAAACCTAAGACCATAATTAGGCCGAACCGACCATAGGTTTGAGGATCACCTGAAGGATACGTCTCCGCAAGCGTTCTCTGGCTTTAACTTTAATACTTCAAAACTGTACTTTCTTACACTATACATGGGGGTAGAGCGAACTGTATTTCTTAAATATGATACATTACCTCTTTGAAAGCACCATTGTCGACCACTTGGTTTAAATGGTAGACTGTTAGTTTCATGAACGACATGTTCAAAGTTGGAAATGTCCCATTCCGACATATCATCTAATGACATGGTTGATGGGTATACAGACCTGCAAAGATTATGTAACATTTCCTCAGTGCTGGGCATACCATGTTATGCTGTGCATTACTTTCATTGAATGAGTTTAGTTTTACACCGCTTTGAGCATAATTTCAGCAATATCACATCAGGGGACACCAGGAATGGGCTTCACACATTTTACCCACACATTTACTTCACACATTGTGGGGAATCAAACCCGGACCTTCGGCGTGACGATCGACCGCTTTAACCACTGGGCTACCCCAACGCTTCTGTTTTATTTTGAAAATTTAGTGATCATAATGGTTCAGGATGATTCAAAGTATATCGTCAATATTGTCTAAAGTATTTGTTGAGCTGCGAAACTTATGTAAAAGAGTCCAGTACCTGAGTCTGTCCCTTTCTTCGTTGGAGCTACACACCAGCAGAGTTGCCCCCAATCTGTTCAGTCTCCTCGCCACTTCCAGCATAAGAGTTGTCGCTCCAGTTCCCGGACCATAACTCAGTTTGACATATTTACTGTTCATGTTCTCCAGAAAACAGAAACACTGGTCTTTGGTAAGAAAATTGATACAACTGTCATCAACTTCACCGGTCTCTGTCAGGACTGACTTTGTTTCAGCAACAGCTGCACAGAAGGCCATCATGACATGTTCGTATTTTGATGGAGTCATCAACAAAGAAGATGTTGGGACAAAGGATGAAGATAAGACTGCAATCTCCCTCAACTTTATGTACCACATGTCATTATTCACCAGATCAGTCCTGCACACAACTCCACGTACAACGTTAACGTTTTCAGTTGTGAATCTGCGTAGTTTTGATGTCACTTCTGTGGCCACAGCTGTGTTGTAATCTACAGCAATCCTTGTCCTATTGTCACTGTCGAGCAGGGTCAGCACTATAATAGGTTGATGAGGCATAAGTATGAGAACATCACATTTCATACGATCCTCCCTTGGTAGGACTGGGAAATCTAATGTTAAAGCTAATGAGTCTGACACATGCACAAAAGCAGTAAGCTCTCCACATGTTTTCAAACCACTTAGTATGTTTCTATGAAACAAAAATCCATCTTTCTTCAGAAGTGAATGAACTTCTTCCCTAATATCCCGCCAGATATCAGCTAATCTGGATGGAACTCTGGTTACTGAACCTGAAATAACAGAATAGGATTACTTCTAAACACATAAGCAGTGACATCTGAAGTTATTAATTGCCATATAAACTTTTCCGTTAATGTTGATGCTTTGAGCATGAGGCGATTGACACCAGTTTTTTTATGTCTGTGTTCTTGTTTTAGTTGGTTTTGAACAGTCTACCATGACTTTAAGGATGTAGCACCATTTGTTTCCATATTGCTTCACATTTTAATGATGAAGCGCCATTTGATTCCATATTCTGTCACATTTTAAGGATGGGGCACCATTGGCTTCCATATTTTGTCACATTTAAAGGTTTTGGAAAAATAAAACAGAAATATAGCCAACGTTAATGACGTTTAGAAGAAGGAAATTGTTAAAACGTGAATACTTGACATAAAAAAAAACATTCTGTGATTCGTTGTGAGCCTTATCTCTATATTTCCTCACATCTTTCTTTCTTAAACTGTATAGATATATTTGTATTTCCTAATCATGCATCATCCTTTTATTATCATTTGCATTATTGAAAAGCATAAAGTTTGAAGTTGATTCTTCTGAGAGAAACACACACACACACAAAACTTTTTGAGGTTAAAGGGCTTATTTGGTAATACAATGAACTGAAAGCCGTCTCCACGGTTAGCTATAGCATAATTTATAATTATGATCAGTAATTTTTTACAACCTTGATGAACAAAGTGATGTTTAATCTCATTAATGCTGGTATCTATTTGTTTCAAGCTTGGACGCAGGAAGTCTTTGCTATTCAAGCAGAGTTTCCTCTCCTCGCCCCCTTGTACTTTCTTCTGAAAGAAAAAAAAATGATCACTGTCAGTATATTATTGGCAAAATATTTTTTTTCTGTATTTTAACTTATTCCATTCGCTGATGTTTATTGTAAGTGTATTTGTTTGTTGACGTTTACATTTTCAGTTAAAGTTATGAAAAAGTGAACGGTGCTGACAAACAAAGTATTTATACTGCGTTCAATTTGGGATTCGAACCTATGACTTAAATCTGCACATTGCTTCTCTCCATTTCAGAGTCGCGTGTTTCTTAACAATTCATATGACCGTATTCTAGTGCACGGTGCAAGAGATTCAAGCCTCTTGAACAGTATTCAATCATGGCGGTCAGCTGGTTGGACATGGAAAGCCACAGGGGTGCCAACAAACCTGCACAGTCAGGGGCAAATTTCGGATATGTTTCTGGCACACCCGAGGCACGCAAGTCTTCACACAATGAATATGTGATTAAATACCTGTTGATCTGAACAAATGTACCACAATAAGTGCTTTACCTGTAATGTTTTCATATCTCTATACCTGCGTTTCCACTCTGAAAAAGGATGATTTTGAATAAATAGAGTATTAGTTAACACTATATAACAATAGATAACATGGTAATTATCTAGAATAAATCATTGTAGTGTCTTCAGTCCATTATATGAAGAAAAAATATCCAGGTTCCATATGAATTCATTTCGGTGTGGCAATATATATACTCTTAAAAAAAGTAGGGGGACCTGAACTCAATTTGGATAGGAAGTATAAGCGTTTACAAACTTTTCAAAAACAGACATTTTATGAATGCACCATCATTTCTCATTATCACCACCCCTAAACACAACGCATGAGATGAAGAGCACAGCGCAGTAGCCCCGTACACGTGCATAGAGTGTCAATCTTGATTTTGACGGTTTTCAAGAAGGTCGATAAATAACTGTAGACCATTAACTTTGACAATCATCTTGCATCGGTTGATCACACAGTTCTTAGTGTATTTTTGGCTTGAATTTGCAATCAGCGTCTGCAACGTGATGAACGTTTACATGCAATTGGCATGTTGCAAACAGGCACTACCAGCGTGAAGTGGCCAATACTTCCAATGTTTCGAAGTCAATCATTAGCAAACTTTGGAACAGATACCAGCAAACCCAAAATGGTCAACAACAAGAGTACAGGGTCGTTTCAATCGGAACCAGGCTTTAAGAAATCGAGCTGTAACAGCCAACTATATTGCAGCAAATCTGTATCAGACTACTGGTGTTCGAGTTACAGGTCAGACGATTAGGAATCGCCTCCATGCAGCTCACTTGTATGCTTGATGGCCCGGGTCGTGCCAAACTTGACTGATCGTCACATGGCTGTAAGAAGAGAAAGGTGTAGGGCACAGAGGTATCGTTGTTGGTCACGTGTCATGTTTTCATATGAGTCTAGATTCACTTTGGACTTGCTTGACACGTGTGGTCGGGTCTGGCGACAAAAAAATGAACGCCACGCCAACATAAACGTGAGATCACACGATCGATTTGGAGGTAGGGCACTTCCTCACTATGTTATGGTATCACTATGACTGACCGAACCCCTCTTCATGTTGTGCAAGGAAGGGTTACAGGGCAGTACTACCGGGACAACATACTGACACCCTTTGTTGTCCCATTTGCTAGGTTTTTCGGTCGTCTTTTCGTCTTATAGGATGACAACGCCCGTGCTCACCGTGCATGTATCGTCAATAATCACTCCAGCAACACAACATCTATCGTTTGCCATGGACAGCAATGAGCCCTGATCTTTCCCACATCAAACACATCTTGGACATGATAGGGAGACGTGTGCGTCAACATCAAAGGCCGCTAACTACGCTGGATGGACTTGGCAGTCTTATTGGGAGACGCATACGCAGGATGCCTTGTCGTCTGAATGAATGTCTGCCCTTTGTGGTGGAATCACTCACTACTGAATGAAAATCGTACTAGGGCTGCGCAATATAAGCGGTTTACCGGTATTTACCAGTTCAGACATGAAAACGATACGTATTGCGATACGCTGATCGAAAACCGGTATTTTGATTTGCATTCGGAAAACTTCGTAAGTAGTGTACAGTGTCGCCCTGGCGATGATGTCACGTCCGGTTCCGGTGTGTGCGCGCGCATGACGATGACGTCATCTCCGGGTCAAGATGGCGGACGCGTTTCAAGATGGCGTCCCCTCCGGTGGGATCTCGCGGGATCTCGTGGACTCTCGCGGGATCTCGGGCGCGTAGGCGGGACGGGACGGAGAGGGAAGGAGAGGGAGGGAGGGAGGGAGAGTGGTGAGGGGGGGACGATGGCGTGGCTAGAGAAGTGTGTGGTTAAAGCTTTTGTCACTCAGGTTTTCTTTCGAGCGAGGTGGGTGGCCTTGAAAAGGGCCGTTGGTATGTTAACAAGGCAGGTTAACATTCACAGAGAAGATGGAGACCCCGAAAAATAAATTTTCCGGGTCACACATCATCGTGCTGCTGTTGTTCTCTCTGGATGATGCCTTCTCCACAGTAGAGGCAAATGTAAAAGTCAGCTCCTGGGACGACATCAAAGCGATTCGAGGGATATGCTTTGAAACAGGTAGGACAGATAATCAGTCGCCATTTTGATGACCATTTTGGTAATGTTTTCGATGTGGCTGTCGTCGTTGGTGGTGGTGGGGCTACCGTGTCTGCTGCCGTAGGTGGTGGTGGGGCTGCCGCTGCTTCTGTTGCTGTTGTTGGTATCAGTACCGGTTATGCAGGTGTTGTTGCTGCCTCTTCCATTTTGATACCAGCCTTCCCTTGTAAGGTAGGGCTGCACCGCAAGCATTGTTGTCTACCGCAATATTTCCGGTAAGGTGCGGGTCGCATGACTTCCACTTTTCTTGTGTCCATGTTGCATCAAGATAGCCCTCACTGACCCATGCTGGAGTTTATATGCAGGCAACGAGACAGCGATGACGTGTCGTCGATGACGTGGTATCAATGACGTCATGGTCGCGTGTGAGGGTGGTGACGTGGCACCAGTGACGTCACCGTGAGGTGGTGGTGCCGTCATGGCCTTTGATTGGCTTAGCTCTCCTATATATCATGAGAGGGGGTGGCCGAAGCAGTGTTACAATGGACAGGATGGAGAACTGGGACTTAGAGTTAATGTCTTTGGAGGCACCCTCGTCCTCGCCACCCTTGCCGGCATGGCAGTGTCACCAATGCCATGGCTGCCTGCCCGTCTATGTCAACGGTAGCATCGATTATAATGGCACCTTTCAGTGCGTGTACTGCGGTACCGTGCTGAAGGATACCTACATCCGTCGCCTCACTCATGGGAGCAAGTGCCCGGTGAAACGAAAACTGGCCATCCATCCCTGTCAATGCAGGTGCCAGCTCTGGTCCCTTGAGTGAGGTACACTCTTAAAAACGGCCCTTTTTAGGGCCACCCATCTCTCTCAAAAGAAGGGTTCATTTCAATGCAAACAACAACAATAACAACGATAGTTTGACATTTTTCAAACGTTTTATTTCCCCCGCTAACAAGAACACTTTGACAAAAGAGGCAGGATTAGGGGCGTCCCTGATCTTTTGTTTACAAACGGTATGAACTGTAACATCGGAACATCATAACTGTAACATCATAACATCAGAACGATAAAGTTGTGTCCTTTTGCAGGGTTGTGGATCATGGCCAGCGTTGTTGTCTGTCAGGCGTGTGGGTTGAAACCAACGTCTTACACGTTCTTCATTGACGAGGGTATCGTAGGGATCAAACTGTTCCATCACTTCGTCAAAAGACCATCCACGGGCACGATGAGCCAGTACTGCCGCCGCGGTGTCTGATACACTGGTGTCCTACCATGCTGATTCTCAGTACGTACCCAGACGACGGGGACGGAAATGAAGTGTCACGATGGTCTTCCCAGTCTGGAATGGCACGAGACGTCCTACGTCATCCATTAAATAGATTTGAATGGCATCCGTGGTTCCCTGACGCAATCCCATGTAGCGTAGGTGCTGAGGGGTTTTGATCACGGCACTGTCTTCCATCATCTGGCGCGACACGCGGACATACATCAGTAAGGGAGCCATGGTATCCCCGACGATTTGATCTTCCACCGCATCCGAGTAGACGTACACGGTATCAAAACCAGCCAGATGGTGTGCTTCCTGTTCACCCACGACGAGAGGACGTCAAACACACCCACCTGGCCACCATGGGGAGCTGTATGAATCCCAGCATACGTACTAAAGGAGCAGGCAACACCATTTGGGTGGTGTAGGCAGACCTGATGCTATCGTGGTCAGGTTGGGTTGCGGTTCTGCAGGAGGAACCCGTGAGGGCTCTGCACATGTCTTTCGGGGTGGGAGCATAAAAGTTGACATGCGTTTTGCCACGCATTTCAAATTGGAGGTCTTCTTTGGGGTAGTTCACCACGACGGTGAAACGGCCTCGAGCATCCGCTTGGTAAACATCAGCTGTATGCTTTTCCAACAGCCATGCACAGGTGTGTTGAAGCAGGATGTTCCGTCTCTGGACCAGTTGTCGACTGGAATACACTCCTTCTGGAATAATGACCTTTTCGCTGACTGCTCTGATGATGCCTGATTCATCGAGTGCTTCTGATGTAAATCCGGGTCATGCGTTCCAAACATGAAGGTTGAAGGGTAACGACAAATTGTACCATGTCATCGGAAAATAAGTTCACTGACGCCAACTTCCACTCTGGCGATTGTTGAATGGATTTGAACACTCTGTTGTTCGGATGAACATCTATGGAAGCATCGCTGGGTAAGGTCACGTAAAAGTCCCGCTTGGAAAACAAAGACACTGACATCTTTCTCTCTCTTAGGGAACCAGGCTGGATACAGAGGGGGTTGGAGATGTAATAGAGGAGGGAGGCAACGTGGATGACGACGACGACACCAACGTGGGTTGCGGGAGCAAGTACCCCAAGCAACTGGCCAGCAAGGCAGTCCACAACTGTTTCTCACCGTTGTCCAATGCCAACTGAACCATGCTCATGATGACCACGCCATATATCAGAAACACTTGGGAGAAAAACACCACTTCACTTCATGGCAGGTCCATGCCAAAGCAACACCAGCGTGGATATGGCTTGCCATCCTCCTTGCACCTTGAGATCGGTTCACTCTACATGATGGGGGATGCTCCACTGATGGCGGGAGACTGGAGGCCACGCTATTTAAAGACCAGATGAGCAGCAGGGATCCATGAATCAAAGCTGGCAGGGTATCCTGACCATCTCACCAACACTTCATCCTTTTGACGGCGTCGTTGTTTCAGGACCTGATCCACTTTGTACACGTCATCCGTTTTCTGAATGGGTTGCAGTTCTTCCGGGTAAAAGGTGCCTTGCAGCATTTCTCCATGACCATCTTTCACTCGGTAGACAGGAGGAACACGTCCTTTTACCACCCGATCCACGGTGAACAGTTCGGTGGTCCAGTTGGGAAGGTACCCTTTGTCAAACGTCCCCTTGGTCTTGTTCAAACGGACACAGGTCCCAGGTAACAATAGGGGGTGCATCTTCTTTGTCTTG